GCACACACACAGGCACACACGCGCACACACATGCACACACAGGCACACACACACGCACACACACAGGCTTGCTGCTCACACACATGCTCAACTACAGGAGCTGCCCCCCACATACACTCTGGTCACACCAGTGGTGCATACACACACAAGCACACGTACATGCATGCACAGGCACACACGCATACACGCACACGCACACACACACAGGCACACACATACACGCACACACACAGGCACACGCATACACGCACACACACGCACACATGCATACACAGGCACATGCACACGCACACACACACAGGCACACACGCACACACACAGGCTTGCTGCTCACACACGTGCTCAGCTACAGGAGCCGCCCCCCACATACACACTGGTCACACCAGTGGTGCCCCTGCCCACGCCCCTGCCCACACATGGTGTCGGGTCCAGGAGGAAGCCACGGCTGCCCCTCTGCCTGCCACCCTGCCTGCCCCCCGCCCATCCCCGAGCTGCGTCTGCCGTCACGGTAACCAGATGAGACAAGGCAATTTATGATGCCAGCTGTCTCTGTCAACCGGGTCCCCAGGCGGGGAGGGCCAGCCACCCAGCCCCGCCTGCCAGGAACAGGGAGACGCAGCAGGGTGGGCCCGGCCACCAAGAGTGGGCGGCACCTGACTCGAGGACATGCCCCTCCCTCTTGTCCTGGGGAATCTGATGTCCCCTTCTTCCTGTCCTCCATGTCCCTGGCCACACCTCTGGCCCGGCTCAGGGTGGACAGCAGGTGGGAGGGGAGGGTTGGGGGAGAGGGTCCTGGGTCGCCATGGCCACAAGAAGGCCAGGCGTCCTGTGCCCCTCCACCACACGGCAGGCCATGGGGTGGCCACATGGAGGTCCCCTGCCTCCTCTCCACCTTCCTTTTCTCACCCAGAGTCCCCCTGCCTAGGTGTCCCTGTGCCTAGCGTGCCCTCCCCCGTCCTGCCCCCCCAGCCCTCCTGCCGGGCCCCTCCGTCTGGACTTTGGAGTCAGACCCAGATTCGGGTCTCCTGTTCCCCGCCCCTCCCCCCGGGCAGCCGGCACGTGCCCCCCCTCGCGACAGCCTTTGCACCCATAAAACATGTGCCTCCCCATGAGGATGAGAAGGGGAGTCCACCGTGGACCAGAGCCTCTGGAAGCTGGGGACAGCACTGGGCACAACAGGCCCCAGCTCCTGGGCTGCAGCCCGACCGCAGGAGCCAGGGGGCACAGGTTCAGAAACTGCAGGGAGACGGGTCCCTGTCCCCCACCTGCAGGGTCCGCAGCTGTCCCAGGCGCCAGCCGACAACCTCACAGACACACTGTGCCCCGAGCTGCAGGGATCCCTTCCCCAGGCTCAGCTGACCCGGGGGTCTCCGTCCTGGGCCTCGGGCAGTTTCCTCAGCAGAATTCCCAGCGTCGGAGCTGAGGGCAGGTCCACTCCTTCCTTGACTGACTCTGTGTCCACTTCACAGATGTACTTGAGGACATACTATGTGCCAGTCCTCATGCTGGACACGCAGGGTTGAATGAGATGGGAAAGGGACTTCTAGGTGACAGTTGCACGGTAGAAGTTTCTAGAAATGCTCAGCACCTTCCACAGCTTAGGAACAAAGCTTAACAGTAGTGTTCACGTCCCTCTGCCGTTTTACAGGATGCTTCTGCCTGTTTCTGTTCCTCTCAGCGTTTCCAACAACTCTGAGACACAAGTTCAACCAACAGCCCTCATTTTCCAGATGAGGAAACCGAGGGTCAGAGAAGATCTGGGATCTGCCTGAAAACCCAGAGCCAGGGAATGGAGAGCCCCCAGCAGAACCGATTCTTCCCCAGCTCAGCTCAGTGTTCTGGCTGACATTCGTCACTTGCATTATCTCACTTAATGACCTTCCCTACGGCCACCTGGTTGGGCAGTGATCCCTCACGCCCGTTTACAGCCAGGGAGCGTGATCAGCCTGTGCTGGGATTTGAACCTGCACTGAGCTGAGGCAGGATCCCAGGGCCATCCCCTCCTCCATAGCTAATCAGTTCATTAAAACCCTCTGCGCACACCCTCCCTCGTGGCTCCTGGACATGGAGACCTCCGCTGCTCCGTTTTCAAGAGAGCAAATTCCCTCCCAGCTGGAGAGGAGGCGGGATAATGCAGGAGGCAATTTAAACAGCTCCGGCAACAACAGCAGCCTCCACCCGAGCCTCTCACCTTCCCAGCCGCCGCGGGATCGGCCGTAAGTGGGATATCAAGTTTATTACAGCTATTTCCAACCTGTAATTGGTTTTGTGGAACACAAAGAGAAGGAGGTGGGAGGGTGGAGGGAGGTGATTTCCCCCTTACTTTTATTTTTTCCACCCGGGGCTGTTGGTGAGGCTGCTGAAGTTGGAGACTTATTTGTTTCTTGAATTAAAACGTGGCCAGTGGGCCAGCAGCCTCTCACGCAGATGGCTGGACTAAGCCCATTGGCCTGGCCACAGCCAGGTTCACAGGTGGGGGACAGGTGCACCGGGGGCGAGGCCTGGCGGCCCGGGGGTGTGAGAGGCCGTGGTCAGCTGGGGCCGCTGCTCACGATCCAGAGCATGTGGGCGTGCTGGCTGGGAAGGGTTCGGCGGCCTCCTGCCCTGACTTCCTTAGGAGACTTTCAGGGAAACTGAGGCCCAGGGAAGCCGTGCCAAGGTGAGCTGCGGGATTCACAGCCCAGCCGCCCGCCTCTCGAGACAGCTCCGTCGTGGGTCACGGGGGATTCACGGCAGAGGCACTGTCAGAGCCGGAGGGGAAAGAGCCACTCTTTCCTAAGCTCCGGTTATCCCTCTGCTACCCACTCTGGCCACCTCCCTACTTTGGACATAAGTAAAAATTAATAATAGCAAATATGCACGGAATATTTTGTCACACAGTCACACGAGTTCCCGTTTGCCAACAATACCTAGCGTGCAGTGCAATAAGCACTGATTGAGGGCTAGCTGCAGTAGCTTCCCCTCATCTCGGACTTCATTTTCTATGGTCACAGTTACTCATGGTCAACCAAAATCTGATAGTACCACATGGAAAATCTAGAAACAAATAATCCATAAATTTCAAATATTTCGCCATTCTGAACAGGGGAATGAAATCTCACACCATTCCATTCCATCCTGCCTGGGACATGAATTTTTCCTTTGTCCAGAGTATCCACACTGTATATATTACCCTCCTGTTAGTAGCCAACTCTGTTATCAGGTTGTCACGGTCTTCTATGCGAATGCACAAAAGAGAGAGAGAGAGATTACATTCCTATAACTTGCATATATATAAATATAATCACATTGTTATAATTCACACATTCTATTATTGTCGTTGTCGATCTCTTACCATGCCTAATTTACAAATTCAACTTTATCAAAAGTAGGTATATATAGGGAAACACAGTATCTAGAGGGTTCAGTGCTATCTGAGGCCTCAGGCACCATTGGGATCTTGGAACTGACCCCCATGGATAAAAGGAGACTTCCAAATGATCACTCCTTCTCTGTTATTAGACCCTGTGCCGGGCAGTACACTGGGCTGCCTGTGCGCACGCTCTTACGGGCTGAATTCTCACTCAAGCACCTTGCAGGTAGGCTCCCACTTTGCAGGTGAAGAGACTGAAGCCCAGAGACCCCTCCCGGGTCACACAGCAGTAAGCTGAGTGGTGGAGCTGGATCTGAATCTCGGGTTCTGTGACGGCCACGAGCCTCTCACAGTCCACCCACTAACCCATGCTGAGGGGCAGCTCCGCCGCTGCTGCTTGGGAAGTTCACTTGCTTCTGAGCCTCAGTTTCTTCATCTGCAAAATGGGGGTGAAGAGATGCAGCTCCCAGTTCAGTTACGCAACAGCCCTGGGCGTGTCCAGGCGCCATAGCGCCTGGAGTCGCGGTCTCGAGGATCCAGTGAAATTATGGAGGCCAGGGTGCATTATGGAGGCCGGGTCCCAGCACACTGTCAGTCCCAGCAGGAGTCTTTTGCTCAGCCACGTACAGCGCCCGTGTCTGGTCAAGCCGCCTCCTCTGCGTGATTGGGACGTTTTCCTGTTCAGAACAGTGTCCTGCCGGGACCCCTAGAACGCCTAGCACAGGCTCCTCTGGAGCCTCCCTGCAGGCCTGGTCCGCGGCCACCGCCCGCTGGTCAGAGCGCCCCAGGTGGACGGCGGTGTGGGCGGGCTCCGTCTCGGTGACTCTGCCTTGGGAAGCCGAGGGTCCCTCCTGTTCCTCAGCCTGGGGGCTCAGGCTGCCATCCCAGGTGCTGAGCTGGGGGTCGGAGCCGCGGACGGTGGAGGGAGCCTCTGCCTCGCGGCTCACGGCCAAGACCCTGTTCAGTTAAAATATCCTGAAAGAGTGAACGAGACCCGTCAGAAGCAGCCCTGGGACAGGGACGACCTGCCCGTCCCCTCCTGGGCGTCCCCTCCTGGTCCTCTCTCAGCAGACCCGTGTCTCTTCTCCTCATCGGCTTTGCTGACTGTCCATCCTGACCTGGCCCCACTCTGGGCCCTCGCTCAGAGCGTCCCCTGTCCTGCCCTGGGCGGCTTTGGGGACAGCGCGTTCCTGGGCGCTGCTTTCTCTCCTGGCACCTTGCAGGTGGCCTCTGGCTCCTGCCAGCCTCTCGATCGGCCTCTTGTTTCATTCCCTGCCCGTCTGCCGCCCCTGGCACCTCAGCAGGAGCCCGCCCGCCCAGCAGCCCGCCCAGGGGCAGTGGGGCAGAGGCCCCTGGCCCTCTCTCACGCCTGCCCCTCCTACCTGGGGACCCGAGGTGGCCCAGGTGAAGTGGCTGTCCCAGGGCAGGGCCACGCACGGGAACCCAGGTTGACTGCGGGGGCAGGAAATGGGTCTCGCTTCGGGCTCAGAACCCGACCCAGGGAGAGCAGCACCGCCTCCCCCAGGAAGCCCTCCCGGGTGACCCTCCCTCCAGAGGGACCCTCCACGTCACCAGGTGACGCTTGGCCAACACCAGGCTTCGGCCACCGCCTTCCTGGCTGCTCCCTCAGCTGACGGTGACCCTGCGCCTCCCGCCCGCTGGCCCCTAGTGGGCAGGCCCCGCGTCTGACCCCACTTCCTCTCCCCTGGGCCACCTGGGAAGTGTCCAGAGTGAAAGGGCAGGTGTCCGCAGGTGCACCTCCACCTGGCGCCCGTCACCCTCCGCCCACAGCCGGGACCCCCACCCGGGGACCCCTGGCCGCAGGGTACAGAAGCCCCTGGCTGCCACCTGAGAGTGCCCGGCCTCCCTTTCCCGGGGCCTCCCTTGAGGCAGGGGAGGGGAGATGACCGTGGCCAGAACCCGGTGTGCTGTCCCCAGCCTGTCACCCCCGTGAGAGCCACTCGGCCTCCGCGGCTAAGGCCTAGAACAGGCTCCTCCTCTGCTCCCAGACGCGGCCCCAGAGAACGGGATGGAAACGAAACCTGGAAAACCAGCTCCTCCTTGAACCGCGCCTGTCCCCCCGCCTGTCCCTCCGCCTGTCCCTCCGCCTGTCCCCCCGCCTGTCCCCCCGCCTGTCCCTCCGCCTGAACCGGGATTTACGGCGGGACGAGTCCTGCTCCTCCGTGCGGGGGTCCGCGGCGCGGGGTGCGCGTGTTTTCCTAGTAATAAAACCCGCGGTCCCGGGGATAAATTGGAGGAGACAGTTTTACCGACAGATTTTTTCTCTTTTGTGTAATAAAAAAAAATGGAGTAAAATTTGAGATCGGGGCGGAGAGGCCTGTGCTTTAGGAGGAGATAAAAAAGCTGAACCCGAAGGGAGGCACCGAGATGGCAGGAGTCAGGCGCCTCGAGTTTATGGCAGACCTGGGCCTCCGCCTGCCCCTCAGCTCCTCCTCCAGCCCCTCCAGCCTCCTCCCTCCAGCCTCCTCCCTGCTCCTCCCTCCTCCAGCCCCTCCAGCCTCCTCCCTCCCCCCCCTCCTCCTCCCTCCTCCATCTCCCCCCAGCCCCCTCTGTCCTCCCACGGAGCCTGGCACAGGCCAAGGGCACCCACCTGGCAGGATGGGCCTGGAGCCTGCCCAGAGAGCCAGGGCCTCCCAAGGACCCAGCAGGGGACCTCGGCCCAGTCCCTGTGCCCTTCAGGCCCCGGGACACGTCGTCCGTCCTGCTGCCTCCCAGGCTGGGCCCCCCGCGCCGTGGCAGTCTGTGTGTTGCAAGATGGTCGCCGCGTCCCCCGCCTCTGCGTCTGGATGCCAGGACCCAAATCCCCTCCCCAGCTGTGACGACCCAGAGTCCAGCACTTGCCAAATGTCCCTGGAAGGGAAGGGGACAAACCGACCCTGTTTGAAGGCCCAGGTTAGAAGGCCCCTTGGTGGCTCTGAAAGGTCAGATGGCAGGCGCGGGGCTGGGCAGAGGGGTGCGCGAGGGAGCCCCGAGCCGTGGCCTGCACCCAGACGGGGCGTCGAGAAGTAAGGGGAGGTAGAGGCTCAGACCCTGAGGCAGCTGGGCCCTGGGCTGCGGGGGAGGCAGGGGAGGAGCCTGGCACGGAGGCCCACAGCAGTAAGGGGGTAAGTCCTGCTGCTGATCCCCCTCAGTCCCAGAGTCAGTGGGCGCAGGGTCATCCCCTAACCATCCCTGGCGCTGGCTGAAGGCCTCCTCCTTAGGGAGCTTGTGTGGCCTGTGCCTGGCATACAGCTGGCGCCCCATAAACGCTGGCTGAATGTGTTCCCGGGCCACTGGCCAGGCGAGGTGGCCTCAGCCAGGTGGGGTGCAGGTGGGCCTGGAGGAGCCTGCTGTGCCTGGCCCCGTCCCCACAGCCCGAGGGCAGATCCCTGCAGAAGCCACCCTCTGCCTGTCCCCTCCGCCCTCCCTGAGCCGCGGGCGTTGGTTCCCTGCCCAGGCCCTGGCCGTGGTGCCGCGTGGAGCCCAGCTGAGCGGGGCCGGTGACAGAGCTGCTGAGACAAGCGGAAACGGGCAGCGGCACCAGATAAATAATTGAGGTGGCGGCAGCACACACCTCGCTGCTCTGTGCAGTGACCCTGTCATTAGCAGGAGGGAGTGGGGGCGGGACACTGGGTGCTGCCCACCAGCTGGGAGCCCCAGGCCCCTGCCTTCCGGCCTCTGTGTCCCCGGGAGACACGCGGCTCCCTCCTGGTCGTCCAGGGCGAGTGCCCACCGGCCGCTTTCCCCACGGCCTCCCACCCCCTGGACGGTCCTCGCCCTAAGGCCAGGGGAGCTCGTGAGTGGGCCGCAGGGACGTCCAGCTCCTGGTCCAGGCCGCCCGTGTCCCAGCGCCCCTCCTTCCAGCACTCGGAGCTGGCCGTCCACCAGGCCCCAGGCTCTCTCCTGCCTGGGCCTTCGCTCCTGCTGTCCCCTCTGCCCGGAGAGCATGCCCTCTCCGTCCTGCAGGGGCCTCCAGACCTGGCCTCCCCTGGACACACTCCGTGACAGCCCCCTCCCCAGGGGTGGCCCCCGGCCTTACTGGGCCGACCCTCCACGGAGCCACCAGAACCTCACGTTGGCTCATCCGGCTCCAGTCACTCTGCTTGGCCCAGCCCCCACCCTCCTGTCCAGTCCCCTCCCTGTTCCTCTCCCCTTGGCTCCCACGCTCCCCCTGGTCCGTCCATGTCCCCAGGAGGTGCTGGCAGTTCCGTCCCAGGAGGGAGACCGCCTGCTGCGTGGAAAGAGCCCGAGGGAAGGGCCAGTCTACTCCCTCGTGGCTGAGGCCCTGGGAGTGTCCACTCTGCAGAGCACCCCCCTGCCCGTCAGCGAGGTGGGGGCAGCGCCTCCTGCCCAGGACACTGCAGTGACCACCGGCCTCCCCCAGGGGCGCCTCCAGAGCCCGGGGCATGGGCGGGGGACTTGCTGGGTGGCCAGCTGAGCGCTCACGGTGGCGGCCTCTGTCTCTGTGCAGGTGACGGACGGCGGCACCATCAAGCAGAAGATCTTCACCTTCGACGCCATGTTCTCCACCAACTTCTCGCACCTGGAGAACTACCGCAGGCGGGAGGACCTGGTGTACCAGTCCACCGTGAGGTGAGGCCCGCCGGCACAGGGAGGGGGCGGGGGACGGTGAGGCCGCTGGGGCCCAGAGAGGGCGAGCAGAGCGCCCGTGGACACACAGCCAGCAAAGACCAAGCTGCAAGCTTGGGGAGGAAATGACCCCAGGCCACGGGACTCCCGGCCCGAGGCAGCAGGGGCCGGAGGGAGGTGTCCTCTGGGTGCCCCAGAGGCCAAGGACGAGCCGGTTAGATCCTAGATCCGTCTCTGGGAGTGTGTGCCCCTCCTCCTCCCACCCAGAAAGACCCTGCCGAATGCCTTCCTCTGGCCTGCCCCACGTGCTGGTGTCTCCTCCCCCTGGTCGCCGGCAAACTCCTCATCAACCCTCAGAACCCCACTCCGGCAGGACCCGCTCTGCCCCGCTGGACGGCTGCTCCTCCGGCACCCAGGCTCCTCCAGGGCATCCGGCGGGATCGGTGGAGCGCACACACACCCGGGCGCGCACGCACACACACACACACACACACACACACACTGGCACATGTGCACACGCACACAAACACACTACCGGCTCTTTCCCACCGCGTTGCCGGCTGCTCTGCCTGCTGCCCCGCCAGACGCTGGCCGCCTGCTCTAGAGCTGCGGTAGGGCCTGGCCGAGTCAGGCACAGTGGGCACAGCGGGCTCAGCGGACACAAGCCCTGCACAGTCACACGCGCTCCCTGGGGTGGCTGGACCACGGGTGCCCGACGCTGCGTGTCTTAGGCGCTGGTCCCGGGGGAGGGTCTCACCTTCCCC